TTCTCCACATCTGAACCCGTAGATTATTGGCACTCTACTGTGTTGTGGTGTTATTGAAATATTACCTGTGAGTTCGGTTCTTGGACATTAACAAGTCAATAACGTTCAACAGAGCTGGCACAAATACCCACTGGAGCACATGGAGAAATGGACTCGGATGGAGAGCCAAGGATAAATTTATAGAAAAGAATGTTACTCAATGATGCAGACAGCCAGATTGTTTCGGCCAAGGAGGCCTCATCAGTGCAACTCCGAGCTTAAAATAGGATTGAACTGTCAGCCATGGCTACGAGAACCACAGACATTAGGACAGCTCGTAGCGGGCAAAACATAAAGCCAACCAGCGCAAGTGCGTCCTATTGTTAGTGCTCTACAAGATCGAAATATAAACGAATGTTAGCATTGGTATCGCAGGAGCTGATTGCTTAGTAACTGGTGGTGTTAGTGGACATATTATTGCCTTACTTGTAGTTCCTGAAAGGGCTAAGTGTGTGCATGTGTGTATGCCTGTGTTTATGTGTGCGCGTGTGTTTGTGTGCATATGTCGAATCCACTGTTTTCAACCAGCCACATGTCCTCCAACACCAAACCTCTCGAACGGATATTATACTACCAGTATTAAAAGTTTTACAAATGGTGGCACAGCTACTGCTAATTGTTTTCCAGGATACCAGAGAAATAGATCATATGTGATTACGTGTGGTAGTAATGGCACTTGGCCTAGTGGTGCTTCTCTTCCAACTTGTACATGTAAGTCGAACCAACTGGACATGATCCAATACATTCTTTTCATGTAGAAAGTGCACAAATGCGCCACTTTACTTCATTCCCTTATCTGCTATTCATTCGTTATCTCCCTCAACTGAGGAGAATTTAAAACGAGCGAAACAGAGGTCTGGACTCTGGGGGCTATGAAACATCTACCCAAGAACGAACTTCTTCGCTATTGAGAGGTGTTGTGATTGTGGGCAAGCTGTTTCGGCCATAAAGGCCTCATCAGTACAGCTACGAGCTAAATAGGCCGAGCTACCAGCCATGCTGCAAATGAGACACCACAGACATTAAGATAGCTCGTCGCTCTAGCGCCAGAGTGCTCAAACTGCAAAAAGTAGCTGGCGTTGCATGATGCAGCAGCACTAGAGCAGCCTACTGAGAGTGCTCAACAAGACGAAAGCCGAGGAGCGCAATACCCAATGCTGTAGACAGCAAGCTCTGAATATTTATAATTTTGACTTCAATATCAGTGATTCACCAAACTCTGATCGCCAATTTTTTAAACAAGTTGTCATATGTAGTAGGAGTATAGTAGTAGTAGTATTTATTTTATTTACCATCGGATGCCTCAACAGTGATACACACAACTCTTAAGAGGGCCGATAACGGGGTAAGTGGAAAGGAAAAGAAAAGAAAAATAGAAAAAAATTGGAATCCAGACATCAAGCAGTAGAAGTTTAGGAATTTAGTTTCAGCTACTTCAGAGTACTGTGTTGCCGGAAATTTTCGGACGAAAATATTTTCGGACCATTAAAGCCGAGTTTTGACCTTTTGTACGGATTCTATTTTCGTATAGTGGTGCATGCTAAAATAATGAACGTGTTTGCAGGCGGTATGTATGCATAGACCACTTTCACGACGTGCACGTGATCTGACGCCCACGGCGCAGCGTAAGGCAAAAGATCGGTTTTTTTTGTGGTGTATGCACATCATTTTGTATTGAGAACAATTGCTGTCGTTGACATTTCCTTTCTCTCTCCGACATGGCATCCCTCGAGGAGCTTGTCGAGGCAGTGCAGTCTCAACAGGATGATGTCGAAAAGTGGAGGAAACGCTTAGAGTCAGCAAACGTGCCTGTGCTGAAGGAGCTGTGCAGACATTTCAAAATTGTCCACAGCAATAAAAGGAAGACTGAGCTGGTGGAGACCGTTGCTGGACTTGCTGAGACGTCTTCTGCAGCCTCAGCGCCGCCACATGTTGCGCCAGAAGTGTCCGCGAAAACAGTGGAGATCGCGGCAGAATTGGAAGCCTTGCCAACGTATGATTCTGTCTCGTGTTGGGTACACGATTTCCTTGTTGATAATTTTAGTTACGAGGACATACACACGTACCTCGTGGAAGTGAGGTACAAATCCTCGTCTGACCGTCAGTGCAGCAACTTCAAGTCACTGAAAGGCTATAGCTATTTCACCAGTGGGTGGGTTTCCAATGTTTGGATGTGCTGCCCTGATTCCGTGAAGCCCTAGTACATCTATGCTAGAGGGCATGTGCACCAGTCCTATCCGTCAGGGGAGAAATCGGCCTACCCAGTTTTTATTACTATGTCGCCTCAAGGGGCTGTGTATAGTGCCAGATGCAAGTGTGCTGCTGGACTGGGGGAGAGCTGCAGTCATGTCGCCGCGCTCCTGTTCTACCTCCTTGACTGTAAGGAGAAAGGTGCCACAACGATACAGGCAGACGCAACATGCACTGGATGCTTGATGTCGGGGCATCATCCTCCACTCCAGCTATCAGTACCTCCTGTCCCATTGGCGGACGCTGTGTTTGTGGCCACTGCCTATGGCAAGGAATCCCGCAAGGTCTGTGGAGGTTCTATGTCCACCTTTGAACCGAGAGCTGCTCAAGACCTTGCTGTGGACGACCATTGTGTCCAGGAATTACTGGATACATTTGCATCAAAGCTGCCAACATCTGGCTTGTTCCAATTCTGGAACCACCCATCTTTGGCCAAGAAGGATGCTATGCACACTTTCGACAAGCAGGCTAAGCAGTTGGTTATGTCACGACACCCTAGGACAGATCATTTCAGTGATGACGTGGATGAGGAAGTTGGTGTGGCGATGTGCACTGATCTTGCTAATGACAGCTCCATTGATAGCAGCCTGGCCTCCTATATCGAGAGTGTCACGAAGAAGCAGTCAAGATCGCCACTTTGGCGTGACATTCGGGTTGGCCGCATCACTTCCTCTATTTTTCATGTTGTCGTAAACCGTAGGGAGACTACATCACCAGACAGCTTGGTGAAGACGATCATGGGTTACTGCAAGATGCCAAAGACAACGGCTATTCAATGGGGTATAATGCATGAAGCGAAGGCCGTGGAGGACTACTTGCGACTTGTGAATTTTGTTTTTGAGTCAGATATTGCTGTACGTCACATGCCATCTGCTGTTACACTTCATCAAGAGTACTCCTTCATCGGTGAGAAGAGTACTCCTTCATCGGTGCTTCTTCCCATGGGCTGTACGATCCTGCTCCGTCCGATCTCTCCCCCATTTTGCAATGACCAGAAACATTCTCCACCATCTTACATAGCGCATCATTTATATTTTATCCGGGCCTATGATACCCTAAATTTGGTTCGCTTTTTTATACCATGTTTGTAGTCCAAGTATCAACCTCTACACTGTATCCCTATACGGATTGGTGGCCACTTGTTTATCAGACAATGGTTCAACTCTTGCTGTGGTTGTGATAATTCTCACCTTTACCTATCAAAATATTGCAAGCATTTCACACCCCTCTCTCATGCAGACAGTATTCACACTTCCTTCCTACTTGACACTTCGGTTCTTCTCATATTCTCATTGGTGTTCTCTCTATCACTTTGTGCTATAAAACAAGGCGCTTCTCAGTTTAAAGGGTGTGTTATTTCCAAGCTACTAATGCAATCTATTACATTGGTAGTAGAGGATGGTTTCTGTCCTGGAGCTCTGTGCCTTCGCGTTGGCATTCATCTCAGGATGTGCGGTCACTTGGAAGATAGCAAGTCGTCTCCACCGAGCTGCGCGGCAACCCAAGGAGAGGACTCCAGAAAGAAGGCTTCGCCATCGGGATCCTCCTCCGCACACTGGCAAGCCGGTGGAATTCAAGAAGTGGCTTCTCATCGAATTCCCCGCGGAAAGCAGCAGTACTTAGGTAGGGTTACGATGAGCGGACCTGGGAGCCTGCAACCTACTTGATGGATGAATCCGGATCACCAATCTTGCCGTTCAGGCAGTATCTTCGGAACTAAATTGAATGGGAGGGTAGTAGTGTTATAGTTCTCACTTTTACCTATCAATGTATTCCATGCATTTCACACCCTCATGCAGACAGTACTCACACTTCCTTCCTACTTGAGACTTCGGTTCTTCTCACATTCTCATTGGTTTACTCTCTATCACCTTGTGCTATAGAACAAGGCGCTTCTCAGTTGAGAGGGTGTGATATTTCCAAGCTACTAATGCAATCTATTACAGTGGTGGTGGTGGTGGTGGTGGTGCGTGAGTATGTGATTGTGAGCCCTTTAGTATGTGTGTGTCTGCGTACTTGGCTTGCATGCGTGTGTGTGCGTTGGTGTGTGCTTGTGTCAGCAAATGCTGGTTCTAATTTTCAACTATAACCTTCGCGTCATCGAAATAGTCACAGTTCGACTAGTGACCTGTCACTTATTACTAACAACTCCATAAGCTAAGTCATACAAAACGTATTACACAATATGATAGTCTGAAGGCTAGAGTAACGTTCCAGGACAGTTGGACTGAGAGTTTTCACGCAGAGATGAAGGCCACGTCGTCGCTGATGTCAATGGACGCAAAATATCGTTCCTAATTTTTCAGGAAGGTTGTAAGTTGGTCGCTCCTCATCTCAAACGCTTTGACTTTCTCCACAGGACAAGGAGCTGGTATGCTTGTCGTCAGCCAGCTCTGGATGATTTCTACTTCACCACCTACGAAGTAAGAATACACGATCGTTGAGAGGTCGTTTGATTACAGTCGGCGGAATCAACTCGATCTTGAAGTGAATTTTTTTAGCCGTGGCACGCCCATTTATTTTAGCTGTGTGGTCACAACTCATGCAGGTAATTGTACTATCACGTCCAGTGCGCACTCTTTTTCCGCATCACTGGTTTGCACCTGCGCGTGCATCACTTGTACTACACGTAGAGTCTACAAAGATCTTGTAGGTACAATCGTGTACTGAGTGTCTCAGCCAGAACGACACATTTTATCGCTCTTGCATGCATTTAGTTTGCTGACCCCTCGATGTTTCTCCAAGCGCTGTCCTTCTCACCCCAGCTAAGGTACAGTGATGAGGATTTGAGTGAAACGCTATAAGTACGAGAAATGGGCAGGTTGCAACGCCTGACTGATCTCAGCGAGTCGAAAGTACCATCGCAGCGACACCAGCAAAGAAATTGCGTCTAGTTTAAAAATGTCAGCTTCCAATAACTTCCGAAAATTGAACTTTGCCGTCACCCTATACTGATGACTACCGCATATATCCGATTTCTTATCTGTGGTACGAGTGCTAATGAGTATATACCCCGTTTCATATCAAAAATCAAACTGCGACAAATTTCAATGACTCCGAGGAAGTATATTTTGTGTCTTTCAGTCTTCCTGTTAGCTTGCTTGCTTACTTGTATGTGTCTGTGTTTTTGATAATAATGTGTTTGTCTTTTTCTATTGACTTTTTGATTTTCTATAGGTCAACGTGACTTCTAGGGTTCAGTACAACACTATGTGGCGTGTTATCCCACTCGTTGTTCTTAGTGCAACATGGATGTCTGTTCCGGCATTTGCAGGTAAGAAAGGGATTAAATTGCCGTTTTAAACAACAGTGATATATACCTATAATTGGAAGAAAAAAAGATTTCGGAGCGTAACTGGATGATGACGAGACTAATAAGACAATTGGACAAAACCGTCTTACTGCAACTGGACGACGCAAAGCAACAGATGACCTAATTTGGGAGGCTCAAGTTTATGTAATAAAGTTTGGTTGTTTGTTGCTTTCATTTTCATTTCATTTCGACTTTATTTGAAGGATTCTCCAAAAGTAAATGGATACATATCCGGGGAGTTTCCTGGAAGGGTGGATGAGACGAAAGGCAAGTGAAAAGGGAGAAGGGAAAATAGTACTTAGCAGAAACACTGCTCAGGGAAAACAACAGGTAAAACCACCAGGGAGAAACAGAATACATGACGAGAGCTAGATACGAAAATCAGGAATTCCAGTGGTGGAGAATTTGAACGTTAAAATAATGGTCCATCAGGAAAAACCGAAACTTAGCAGAAGATCGCTCCCTGCGTAGGCTCTCAGGAAGCTTGTTCCAGACAACTGATAAACCGAAAAGAGGAGATTTATAGAAATGAGTTCCAGAACGAGGCAAAACGATAGAGGAAGGGTGGCGGTAGCTGCTGGAGATGGTGAAAATAAACTGGCTCAGTAGTGCTGGAACTTGGTAGAATACATGATGAAAATAAACTAGAGAGAGAATTTGACGACGCCATTGGAGCGATTCCCATTCACACAGATGATTCAAAACATTCTTGGATGTTATCCAAGAGGGAAGCTGTCGGGTCTTACGCATTAGGTAGGATCGGGCAGCTGTAGCTTGTAGTCGATCCAATGTGCAGGATTGCGTAGACGACATGGCGAACAGCCAAACAGGGACAGCATACTCCAGTAAGGGTCTCACGTAACATCTATACAGTAAATTGATGGTTGATGCGGGGAGACAACGGGTCATGTGGCATAATAGAAATACTCTACTGCGATACTTACAAGTGATTTCAGTAATATGGTCAGAGAAACTAAGGTTCGGGGAAAGGGTAATACCAAGGTGACAGAGCCTGTCAGCCGTCGTAACCTCAGTGTCATTCATTTTGAAGGGGGTGGGCAGGGAGTCACAGCATGTTTCCGAAAGGACACATGAACACACTTGCTGGTGTTAAATTTCATGGCAGTGGTTCTTGACCATTTGAGGCAATATCAGCTTGAAAGCTGGCACGGTGAGTAGGCACTGACGTTTTAGGCGGGGAAACAAGGATTAAATTGGAGTCGTCAGCAAAAAGAGAGAGAGTACTGGCCACAGGGGCATCAGGAAAAGAGTTTATGCATAGATTAAAGAGGAGGGGGCCGAGATGAGACCCCTGAGGCACCCCAGCTGTGATGGGCAACGGATCAGATCGACTTTTCCCAACTCGGACACAGATATTACGGTCACTGATGAAGTCTTTAATCCAATCGCAAGCGTTTGACAAGCACCACCCGGAAACCGACTCCAGGATCAAGTTGTGGCTGACCCTGTCGAATGCCTTGGAGAAATCCAGGAAAAGCTGATCGCAAGGTTATTTCATGTCAACAGCGCACGAAAGCGTGGTTGTAAGCTGAACAAGTTGGTCGACTGTTGACTTTGTTCTGCAGAATCCGAATTGGTTTTCACTAATAAGCTTATGTTTCTCAACAAACGAATAGAACTGGCGACTGACAATTGACTCATACACCATAGCGATTCCATTTACCAGAGAGATGGGGCGGTAGTTGCTCGGTTCGGCTGGGCAGCCTTTACCTTTAAAGATGGGTACCACAATGGCAGATTTGCATTCGCGAGGCTGTGCTTTGGCGAGTAAACAGCGGTTGAAGAGGACTGCGAGGGATTTGGAAGTAGCTTCAGCAGTTTCTTTGAGAATTCGGTTACACAACTTACCAGCAGTAGAGCGATATGTGGACAGTCTAAGTAAACTATCGAATACGGATTGGGCAGAGAAGGGCTGAATGGAAAATTTCTCGGTGGAAGTCGGTAGCAAGATGGCAGAGTGCAGATCAGGCTGTGACAAGGGAGCCTGGCTGTAACTGGCAAACTTCCTAGCGAGGAGGGCGGCCTTGTCTGCACTGCTAGTCACTGGCTTGATCTGGTTGTCTTCCTGGAGGTCGGGATAGCAGAGGTCGGGCGATTAATGTTGCAAAGGAGTTTCGCTTTTCGCCACCATGAGTAGTACTCACGGTGGTTTTGCAGGTCTCTGGCCATCTTTTCGTGGAAGTGGCGCTTGGCTTTGCGAATTGCAGAGTTAAGGGTGCATTCATACTACGGGATAGAGAAGCAGTATAGGGAACGTCGGCGTGACAGTTTTGCAATGGCACGTATGCATAATTTTCGCGCGGATTTTTGCTGCGGGGCATCTTCTGCATCTGCTGCAGGCCAGTGCAATGCAGGTGCAGAGAGCTAGAGCTAGAGGTAGAGAGTAGTCAGTAATGCTGTTGCAGATTTTGTTTCTCGTCCCTTGCTGTTGTCTGGCTGTACTTGTAGTGTTGAGCAGCCTAGGCTAGATAATAGTTATGTCCTTCCCACTGGTGGAAGTTGTCTCAAGCAGTCTCGTCTTGTCGCCGTTTGCCGTTTTCTTCTAAAAAAAGTTTAAAAAAAATAAAATGCCTGGGCATTGCCATTGCATTGTTCCTGGTTGCTCCAACAGGAAGAATACTTGTAAGTTCGGACTGTTTCCTTCCAACCCTGATGATGGAAAAGTAGTATACCAGAAGCAGAGGCTTTGTGGATCGACTGCGGATAGGATAGGTTGCGGCGGAAGTGATCCAGCTTGCAAAAACTTGTCGTTTCATCGCCTCCCTCCTGACACTGACAAACAAAGAGAATGTCGCCGTCAGTGGCTGGCAAAAATCCCAAGAACCAATGTACCTCTTTCAGCCAACTCCTATGTCTGTGCCGTCCATTTCGCTGGAGGACGTCGCTCCAGTGCTGACGAAGCTCCAACTGTATTCGTTTCCCGTGCTGTCGTGAAGGAAAGGCAAACTAGGACAGCTCTTGGATTGGTGGCGCCTGTCAGTCAGGAAGTTTTAGAGCCTGAGACTGAGGATTGTGAGAGTGATGTTCAAAGTGCTAATATGACAGTTGAGCACGACTATGGGAAAGTGCTGATGGACAAACGTGTGGAAGATCTGGAGAAAGAAGTTAAACGCCTTACCTGCAAACTAGACAACTGCACGTATGATCTGGCGCAGACGAAGACGCTACTGGAGAAATGCCAGTTGAGTTACGGCACAATGCGGCAGGATCCTGCTAAACTCTTGTTTTACACTGGTTTGACAGTGGCTGGCTACGATGCTTTACTCAACCTGATGATGGATAACATGGGTGGGATGAGCTATAAGTGGGATGTGGATGAGGATTTCCTTGGCAAAGATCAGCGCGGTCGGCCACGCACACTGTCCATGGAGAACGAGCTTCTCCTCACTGTTATCAAGCTGCGACACAATTTTCCAGAGTCCGACCTTGGCAATCGCTTTGGAATAACGCAGTCATCAGTATCTCGTATCTTTGCCGCAGTTCTGAAGTGCATGTACTTCACTTTCCAGGAGTTGGACATTTGCCCATGTAGGGAGCTGGTTGATCGGTTCATGCCCTCTGAGTTCCGGAAGAAGTTCCCCCGTACAAGGGTTGTTATCGACGCAACGGAATTTCCCATTGACAAGCCCGCTAACCCCAAGGTTCAGGCTACGACTTGGTCCAACTATAAGAACAAGAATACTCTCAAACTGCTCGTCGGCGTGACCCCAAATGGCTCCATTTCATTTCTATCATCTCTATGGGGTGGCCGTATTTCCGACAAGGAGATTACCAAGCGCAGTGGCATTCTTGATAAGCTGGAGAAAGGGGATGCCATAATGGCTGACCGGGGATTTGACATTGCGTCCCTACTTCCTGATGGTGTCGAGCTGAATATTCCCCCGTTCTTGGGAACACGGGATCAACTTGAACCTGAGGAAGTCGTTGCTACAAGACGGATTGCGACGTTGCGCATCCATGTCGAACGTGCCATCGAGCGCATCAAGAACTACACAATCACGCACTTCATTCCGTCGTCTCTCATGTCTCTGGCCGAGCCTATCATCACTGTGTGCGCTTTCCTCACACTTTTCATGGAGCCGCTAGTTCCGCCGCCGGTTCAGGAGCAGGACCAACTCACCAGCAGCGTAACTCCACCACCTGCGCCCAGTTGTGTTCCAACATCATCGTCTAGCACCGACGGAACAGCTCAGCCATCGGTGGATGACACTGACCGCCATGGATCTGCAGATGTCCAAGAAGTGATGCTCACGCAAACGGCTGTGTCGTCCTCCACAACAGTAGTTCAAGAAGGCAAGACGAGTGAAGAGAAACCACCGGAACCTGATGCCAGCATCTCACATAGTGTCAGTGCTAGTGCTACCAATGTCGAAAATGTGTGTTTCTCCTGTGGCGTGGGAGATCAGCGAGTCCTCAGGGTATGTAAAGGTTGCCATCGCCGCTACCACCATATGTGTCAAAACGATGACGATGAGACTGGACATTTCTGTAACAGGTGCTTCGCCTCCGGTGGATAACTGACTGTTTTTCAGCATGTCAGATTTCATTTTCTTTGTGTGTATGTGTGTATGTATGTAAGTATGTGTGTGTGCCCGTGTGCACATGTGCATGCACTCTGTGTGTGGGTGTGCATTCGCTGTTGGTCATGCTCAACAGTAAAAAAAAAAAGTATGAAGTGTTAACTCATTATTGGTACGTGAAAACCCAGTGCAGCACCGTGTACCGTGTATCTATCATTCTTTTTTTTCTTCTTTTTTTTCATCGTTCCTACAGTAAATTTTATTACCCATTCCGGACTGGGGTTACATGGCTGCTAATTATCTTAGTTTATTTCACCTGTTGAATATTCAGCCAATATTGGATATTGGTAAGTGACCCAGTTTTGGAGCAATGTGTGAAATGGGTACCCTTTTGCGTTGACGGTATTATTGATAGCTGTG